TTTTGAGAGAGAGAGAATGAGAGATAGAGAGCACGAGAGGGAAGAGGGTCAGAGGGAGAAGCAGGCTCCCTGCTGAGCAGGGAGCCCGATGCGGGACTCGATCCCGGGACTCCAGGATCATGACCTGAGCTGAAGGCAGCCGCTTAACCAACTGAGACCCCCAGGCACCCAGCTTCTCTCTAATTCTGTACACAGTGGAAACGCATGGAATTTTTTGGAGCAGAAGGCAGCGTACTATTGGCCGAGGAAGGAGTTTGGGATCTCATCTGACACCAGGCTTCGATGGAGAAGCTTTCACTGGCTGTTGTGGTCCCATGAGCTGGAGTACTTTGTCAACCACAAGACTGGTTTTGGGTCTCTCCCCCAGCAGAGTCCCCTTTTGGAAAGATTAGTCAGGCCAAGGCATACAGGCTGAGGTGGAGTGAGGACCCAGGGGGGCTGGGGCCATTGCTGGCAGGCCATTGTTGTGAGCGGGGATCAGGGCGGCTGAGGAGGGCAGGGGTACAGGGAGAAGGAAGGGTGGATCAGAATGATGCCACAATTGAGGCAGTGTCCATGCGACAGAGCATCACTCGGAATGGAGAGAAGACAGCCAACCACTGCAGGGTTCAGGGTGGGTGATGGGGAATTATACAGCACGACACCAGATGCCTGGGACAAAGGGAGCCTTAGGTCTGGGGGAGAGGAGGATGTGTTCATTGTGGGCCATGTTGAGTTGAAGGTGCCTGGATACACCAGCAGGAAGACGTACCAAGGGAAAGCTAGGGGAGCCATTAACGCAGGGCAGAAGGTGGTCCAGACTCCAGAGACGAGAGGTGAAGGACTGACTACAGTCTCTGAAAAGGGAAAAGCAGATGCATACCCCGAGAGCCAGACCTTTGCGTGCAGAGTCTGAGCGTGGCCTTGAATTCATTTCCCTTGGGCGAGCTGCCTGACCTCCAGCTCTCTCCTTGCTAAAACTGGGGCTAAAAACCAATCCCCTTTGTTGGGTTGTTACAGAGAGTAAATAATGCACTAAATGTTAAACTCTTAGACTCGTGCCTGGCACACAGCAAGCACTCAATAAATAGGTAATCTTAGAATTGGAAGGTGAATCACAGGGGCTTGTCTACTTGGAGGCTCCTCAGAGGAGCTTCCCTCTATTTATTTCTTTGGCTTGCTGTGGCTCTGCCTAGAGTTTACACCCCAAAACCAAACGTGGACTTCTCCAGTATCCTGGGAGATAAATTAGCATTTGAATGAACAAAGGCTGCTCTAGGAAGCCACGGTCATTCATTGACTTCAGATCTCTGGCATTAATAACAGGTTTCAGTACCTGAAAGTGTTGCCCAAATCCAAGAGTCCCTGCTTCGCAATGCAAGACCTGTGAAAGCCAAGCATGCCGACGGACATGCAACTGCCTCAAACATATTCACGTACCTGTGACTCATGGCTTTAATCAAGATCGATTACTTCACTTGTAAAGACATACAACCCATTGATTTTGACTGTGGTCAGAGAAACCAGTCATGATGAATGAATCTGGCCATAGCTCTTCTTAACAATGTCACAGGTAGGAGCTCTGATCTTTCTCAACTGGAAATGGGCGCTTGTGCATATTAAAATGCTGGCATTTGGGGTGTCTGGGGGGCTCAGTCATTAAGCGTCTGCTTTTGGCTCAGGTCGTGATCCCAGGGTTCTGGATTTGAGCCCCGAGTTGAGCTCCCTGCTCGGCGGGAAGCCTGCTTCTCCCTCTCCCCCTGCTTGTGTTCCTGCTCTCGCTGTGTCTCTCTCTGTCAAATAAATAATATAAATTTTAAAAAATAAAATAAAATAAAATGCTGGCAATCACAGGACACCAGCAGTCCCCAGGCCTCTGGCAGGATGCCATCTTTGCTTATTGCTTTAATAATTGAATGTAACTGAAAGGTCTTTTCATATCTACTAAATATTTATGAGGATCGGCTGTAAGTTAATGAAACATTTTGTTTGTTTGCTTTAATAAACAAATAATCCAGAGTAAGGCATTCAACTGACTGAGCCATTTGGAAGGGCCACTTTGACATCCTTGGGGATACTCCAAATACTCTGGAGCATCTTTTTGGGGATTGCCTTCCTGGTTCTTGGTACCTTCTTTCAGATATCATTATTGGTGGAAAATTTTTTCCTTTAAAGGGAAAAGGTTTTGAAAAGACATGAAGGTCGTTGCGATTTCATTGAAGTCATGCCATTTTTGTTCAAAGACAAGGTGTCACAAAAGTAACAAGGCTATTTTTCTTGCCTGGATCATCTCCTGGTTTGGAAGGCAATCTTTAGGGAGGAATTCTAAAGCACACTTTCCAAGACGAACCTTATTTTTTTTCCAGAAACAACTGTCTTCTTCGTAGATGACCAGCTTGTCCCAGTTTGCCCGGGAGGGTTTGGTTTTAACACTGAAAGTCTGCAGTCCCGGGCAAACCACGGCAGTTGGGCTTCCTACTCTGAGTCCGGCATATTTCTCTAGTCGACAGGTCTTTGATCCTGTCCCTGTGACATGATGGTCCAAGAAATTTTCTCATCCTGGTTTACTTCCCGTGGGTATAGGCTCCTAACATACAACTGATTTCAGTGTGTACATGGCAGCAGGCTTCTTTGCTCGTGTGTTGGTTCGTTTTAAGACCAGTCTAGTTGAACCACGTGTCGTTAACTTCACGTTGTTATTTGGCGCAGTGTTTGGAATTCTTTTGTGATTTGTAGCTGCTGCCTCTCGGCACTGTTTTTGCTTAAGAGGAGCCAGCTTGTGTGGTCCAAAGAGTAGAGTCAGATTTCTAGACCAGGGCTCCATTTATTAGCCACGAATCCCTTAGCCTATCTGCATCTTAGTTTCCTTAACCAGCAAAAGGAAACATTATTGCTTTTACTATTTCCTAGGGTTAATGTGAGGATGAAAAGAGACAATATATGTGAGTTGCAAAGTTATTAATTTTTAATGATTAATTTAGTCACAATTTATTGAGTGCCCGCTACATGCAAGACCTTCTAGAAACACATAACAGACACACATTGCATGTTTATGTATCTACATGACTGACCACTAGGTGATATTTGTAGTGCTGTAATAGTTATCTGAACAAGGTTCTAGGACTTCAAAAGAGAGCCAGATTAATTCTGCTTGGGGCACACCTGAAGTCTGTCCGGAGGAGGTGAGGCTTGTATTGGATCCCGAAATCTGACAGAGGAGAGGCATGAGCAGAGACAGGGAGGTGGGCATGTTTGGGGAGCTGAGCATTCAGAGGGAGGCAAGCAGGAGCCGGACCTTATAGGACCTTAAGTGCTAAGCTGAAAACTATGAACTTTGACCTAATCAAAGCCTAATCAAAGACCAGTTATTGAAGTGTATTGTGTTCACCCAGGAAAGACCAGGGCAGAAAACATGAGTATATATTCGTGTTTATTGTCCATTTCCCCCACTATAACGGAAGTTCCACAAGGCAGGGCTTTCGTTTCATTCTTTACTGTAGACTTGGGGTCAGACCAGTGCCTGGTATACAGTAGGTGCTCAACACATATTTATTGATTTTAAATATGTAAATAAAACAAGCTTGCGGTCTTTCCCACTGACTGTGGGAATCAGCTGGGCAATATGGTCAATCAGCGCCCATTTTCATGTATGGATTAAACGTACTTCATTCTAAAAAGCGTTTGACGTGGCATTAGAAATATATACACAAAGAATGATTCAAGAAGACAGAGATAAATCAGACCTAGAGGAAAAAGAGAATTGAATAGGCTACTGAAGCACTGAGAATCAGTAGGCAGACGCGGGTGTCCCCGGGCTCACTAACATTTTCAAAGCGGGAAGCCAATGCCTGTCTGAGCTGCTTGACAAGCCACGGCAAGGAAGGAACCGTGATCAGTTGTGAGGTCCACAGTCCACCTTAAACAAAGATGTCGCACTCTCAGAAGCGCCCTGGTTCTTTTTCATGGATAACGACAGCGCTGAAACCATCAGCTTTAGTCTTCATGCCATTTGCGATGGGGCAGTGGCGGGTGGCGGGGGAACTGCTTGATAGCCCCTTGGCTGTTTTGGACGGAGCTTAATCTGCTGTGTAACAACATTCATTGACGCTAAGAGGTGACGGGAAACTTACCCGAACCGGAAGCAGCTGGTGACAGGTTAAGTGACACTCCCTCAAGGGCAGGATTGGGTAGGTAGAGGAATGTAAACAGTCAGTTCCGGTCCTAATGTCCCCTTGAGAACATTTATCAATCTCCAGGTCTTATCTCCACTAATAAAGAGGAAAGTTACATGTTGTACACCTGAAGCAAACATCACGTTATATGTCAATTATACTTCAGAAAGGAAAAATGAGGGAAGTGAACGAAGAAATCCAGCAGAGGTTGTTGAAATCTGCATCCTCTGAGTGTTCTGCTTCCTTTGATTTATTCAAGTGCTTTGGAGGTACCCCTCAAGTGAGAGGCTGAAGTAGAGGTTTGGTTTGGCTGATGGTGTATTTTCAAGAGAGTGAAACCAGGCGAGAAAGGGAGAGAAAGCTGATTCGACAAGTGATTTGAAGGTGGTTTGACTCCAGTAAAGAATGTTCTTCTTTACAAGATGTTTGAAAGGATTTTTGAAAAAGGGGTACATCCACATGGTAAAACAAAAATTCAAAGGGTGCAAAAAAAAGTCAACTAATAATGCTGCCTTTTTGTATATTCTTGCAGAGATACTCATATTTGCACACATACATAAACACTTTTTGTTATATAAGTGAGAATTTATGATACAAACTCTTTTCTTGCTTTTTTTTTTTTCCCACTTAGTAAGTCTTGAAGAACACTCCCCAGAAGTTCCTATTAAGCTACTTTATTCTTTTAAAGTGTGGAATGGTATTCCATTGTACGAGGACCGTCATTTATATATCCAGTTTCCCAGCTGGATATTCGCTGTTTCCAGTGTTTTTGTTTCAAACAGCACTTCGATGAAATCAATGAAATTGGAATCTGCATCAGTCAGAGTTCTGGAAGGAAACAGCACTGCAACTAAGAAGTCTCGCACTCTGAAAGGGACTTCCTGGCAGAGGTATGGGCAGGGTGAAGGGAATATCAGTGGAGGGGTGCCTGGGTGGCTCAGTCGGTTAAGCGTCTGCCTTTGGTTCAGGTCATGATCCCAGGGTCCTGGGATGGAGGCCCCCCCCCCCCCGCCCCGGGGTTCCCTGCTCAGCGGGGAGTCTGCTTCTCCCTCTCCCTCTGCCCCTCCCCCAGCTCATGCGCGCGTGCGCGCTCTCTCTCAAATAAATAAATAAATTCTTAAAAAAAAAAAAAAGGGAATATCAGTGGATGTTGAGGCACCCAGGGACTGACAGCATCAGGAAGCTCTTACCACCCCCAGGCCCAAAGGGGAAAAAAGGGGCCTTGGAGCCTCCAGAGAGTGGGAGCACCAAGGAAGGGCTACTGGGCAGGCAGGAGCTGTACACTTCCAGAAACACAGCATCAAAGGACAGTGTGGCTCCATCACTCTCTTCCTGCCCTGCAGTGTCTTGCCAGTGCCCCCCATTAGCCAAACCCAACTACAGAGGCCAGGTGGCATGGGACCTAGGTGACCAGAGTCGTCACCCTCCTGACATAGAGGTGGGCACAGAGAACAGACAAGGGATCTGGGTTGGGAGTGGAGCATATGTACACCCTAGAAGAAATTTCTAGAAGTAGGATGGCTGACTCAAAGGTGTATGCATATTTATTGTTGTTTTGTAAGTCAATATTCATTTAAATTTACCCTTTTTTAAGTTTTCCTTCCCTTTCTGTACTTCTGTATTTCTCTTGGGAATAATTTTCCTTTTAGCAGAAGAACATCCTTCAGGATGTCTTTCAGCGCCGTTCTGCCGGCTAAGAAGTCTCCGTTTTGCTTGTCTTTGAAGGGTACTTTAGTTTAGTTTTGAAAAATAATTTCACGGCGCATACCATTCTAGGTGGACAGTAATTTTCTTTTTGCACCTTGTCCTCTGAGTTTTATTGTTTCTGTTGAAAATCACCTCTGAGTCATAATGTTGTTCCATTGAAGGTCCTCTTTACTTTCAAGCTTTTCTCTTTCTCTCTTTCAGCAGTTTGACTATGATATGCCTCAGTGTGGTTTTCTTTGTTTTCATCATGATTGGATTTAGTGACCTTCTTGAATCTGAGTTATAATATATTTCATCAGGTTCATCAGAAAATTCTTGTCTGTTATCTTTTAAGATATTGCTTCTGCCCTTTTCTCTCTTCCAGTCTCCAATTACATAAATGCTCTTTTTCACCGTGTCTCATTTGTCTTTTACACGCTTTTCTGTATTTTTCATTCTTTTTTCTCTCTGTCTTTAGTCTAGATATTTTCTATTTTCTTTAAATTCACTGATCTATCCTTTCTGGGTCTAAATCTGCTCTTAAACTTACCTAGCAAATTTTAAATGTCCACTTACCGTTATTTTTCAGTCCTTGTGTTTTGATTTGATTCTTTTTTTGTAGATTGTGATTATCTGGTGAAACATTCTTCATCTGTTTTATCCATTGCTTTTTGCTATTTAAAAAGAAAACATTCATTTGTAGGTCTATTTCTAC